AAAAACACTATTTAAGCCACTTAAAAATCTTAGAAATATTACCCATCACTACTAGAAACAAGGAACTATTTTGGTAAAAACCAATTTATCTTATGATACAATATGTTTGTATGATTAGGAGGCTGGTATAATATGACAAAATGACAGATGGATATCACAAAACTTGCTAATACTACTATTATTTAAGTATGCTCTACTAAATTTATATTTGAAAAATTGTTTGTCCCTTTAATATTTATATTTTATTCCGTTTCATTCCACCTAAATCAATGTAACTAACCAATGAATAATAGTAAATATAAATACTTTGTATTTTTATAAGCCAATGCAAAATAAAAACAGGATCAATACAAAATACCAGGTTAGGTTAATTTAATTATAGCGATATAAACAAGTATCTATAAATATTGATACGATATTTACATATACTTGTAATTTACCATTGACAGAATATGTTTTATATGATTGTTTATGTTCGTCGGTTTTTAAATAATTTAAATTGCGTTCTAATTATAACAACGCGATTTTACTAATGAGAACCGTCTAATTAACTATTTTAAAATCGTACCTACTACTTAATGGAATAAAAATAGGATTTAGCTAATAAAATAATTTTTACTTCCATGAAAATATTATGTTTTTACTATTTTCACTTTTAATTAACTTTCGGTAACCCCAAAAAATCCGCACGATATTTCGCCGTGTTCGCTGTTGAATATTAACGATCAAATTCACTTTCTTTCGGTATATTAACCCGATCTAGTCGTGTCTGTTTGTTATTAGTAACTATACTAATACTACTATTGGCCATGTCTTCTATGCAATATGATTGACGACCATCAAATAACAGACACTGTTCGCTTTTGTTTCTGGGTTATGGTTTAGTAATGTTGGTATTAAATACAAATTTATCTTTGCGTTTAAATTGTTTAAGAAATTATTAAGAATTTTATTTATACTATTATAAACTCGAGTATGAGTGTATGCAACAGTATATAAGGTTGTTCCCCTTTGAGTGTGTTTGTGTGATACTTTTTTTATAAAGGCTTGTTTTTTTTAATATCATTAAATGTTGTCAACGTTTGATAAATATGTTATCTTTGTTGCGTTAATATTTGTCATTTAATTTACTATTGAAAATATTCTCGTAACTAACAAAATTTGAGGTATTTATAACAACTTTTAATCAACCTAACATTCATCAGAAAAAAATAGTGTCTTGTACAACAAGTTTTGTGTAATTATTTTTAAAATTACAGTGCATTAAATTGTAAAACAACTAATTAGCCTATTTAATTTGCTGGGCAATTTAAGTGTACTAATTAATCGTCGAGTATGGTGGATATGCAAAAGTGTGTTTGTAAATAGATCCATACCCTGTTAACGCTTTTAACGATATTAAAAACAAATATTTAAGTTATAAATCTAAAATTATTGAAAACTGGTCAACGACTAACTTTTACTGCAGATTGTTATTAATGTTTTTAGTCATTAAAGATTAAAAGGAAGTATTATGTAGGTTATCGAACTTCAAAACTAAGAGAAAGATTAAAATGGATAACTAAAAAATTAAGAATTAAAAAGGTAAAACAAATTGTCTAAATTTTAAAATAATCTAGAATCGTTTATTTTTTTACTTTTCATAGCACATAAATCTCAAAGAAGTTAAAAAAATACAACAAAGAAATTAAGTGCTTTTAATATGATAACATAATCATAATTACCTAACTAAAGCTGTGAAATAAAAAGTACTCGAATAGAGTGATTCCTTTCATTAACTCTTATATTTACAACAAAATATCTAATGTAAATTAACATTTTTATAAGCTAGTAGGTAACGTGCTAAAACCTTTAATAGTTTAAAAAAATATTGTTTTTTTTAAACCACAATATTTGCTATCATTTTTCAAATTATATTGTTTCGGTCTGGTTTCGTCGTAGTAATTTTACCTTTAGTATGACAGATAACTTAATTATTAAAAAAAAAATTAATTATAGAAGCAAAATATGTATTAGGCACTTTAAAACGTTTGTTTTACGCGCCCAAATAGATTCGTTTAACAATGTTTTTTATGTATAATCATCGCTTGCTTAAATAATTTGTTGCATAAATAACTTTGTTATTTTCCAAGGATCCAACTTAAACAGGTTCTATTAAGTTTGTGGCATTATCATAACGATAGTGGATGATAACAATTATGTAATCTTGTTAATCGGTTTGTTTTAACCGCATAAAAAAAACTCTTTTGGCTTCTTATATTACACGTTTAATAGCTTATAATGTCAACTTAAAGTGTTTTTTTATTTTCACGGGCATCAATCAGACGCACCGCCGTTGAAGGGTTTTACCAAAGCCATTTTGTGTTAACGTCGACAATGGATTTTGAATTATATTATACATATTTTTTTTTATTAAGTACGACGCCAGACTGTCGTTTTTGTATACTTAACGTTTGTCGCGTTTCGACTTTTAAACGAATCTTGGATGTGATTTTTCCCAGCAAAGTCTCTAACAATATTTATCTTATTTAAGTGACTCGTTTCAAAAAGTCAATATATTTACCAATAGCTGTTATTCATTTACAATGCAATATTTTTTTTCTTCGCCTTTTCCCATGTAAATATAGTAATTGGCCAACTCAACGTATTCTGCTTTACTTTCAAGCCATTTTACTTTAGTCCTAACTTTGGAGTGTTGGTACAAATTTCACATCATCCCTAACCACTCATTTGGTTAGTACAAATATTTTAAAACCGTAAATCTTAAACCTTGAAATTTGAATTGATCCAAGTTGTAAGTCAGTCGTTGGGTTACTACCCACACAAGATTTGTGTTCAACGTCTCGACCTTGAAACAATTTGAAATAATTATGCAAACCCTTGAAAATGGTTTTGGCGAAATTTGCGTATGGATTTTTATTACGCTTTGGGTCTTATACATAGCGATTTTCATCAGGTCATTAATATTCCAACTTAGCACGTTTATAGTATTTATATAATATATGCGTGTGTTGTTAATGTATATAATATATTTCATTTTACAAAAGTCCATTACAAATGCATCACGCGAAATGGGTTACTTAATATATTAACTATATTTTACAATGAAATATTTATGTTATTGTGCAGAGTTGGGAAAAATATAAATTTTATCGTTTGACGAATAACGTCTTTATAGTATAATGATAATAGATCATATTTTTTTATTCACGAATAACATTGTTTGTAACTAGATAGATAAAAGATAAAGTAAAAAACGGAGAGTCCGACCAAATTGTTTTAGACGATTTTTTTTCAAATTATAAGTGTTTGCGATTGCAACATTAGATTTACAAATCAGTAATTCACCAGTAAAGCGCATTGCACGACCTTGGATACATCTAAGGTCTTTTTCACTTTGGTGAATCATAGTCGTTTGCTTTATTATATAGCAAAAGAGAACCGATCATCTGAGCTTTCAGACGATTGGATTAATTTGTCTTGTCACCCAAAGTGTGTTATGTGTTCTCAAAGGGTTTCGTCGAAGACACTAGTTGTGATCTCGATATTGTTATTTATCTCTCCTAAGGGTATTAAATCTCTTATACGGGTGTTTGTATTGTTCTATTATTATTATTATTACGACCTCGGCATCAGATCAATAACATATGGATAGGTTACATAAGGTTGTAACAGGGCAAACGTTTTTATTGCATCTAATTATAAGAACAATAGTCGATACTGATAGAACAACTTAACATATCTAATAATTCTTTGTAAGAAAAAAAAATAACCTTAATGATTACAGAATTTTTTTTTATTACCAAAAAAAAAGTTTATATGAGAGACAAGCATGACTTTTTTTAATTTCATACGATCTTCTCGTTAATTGCTTTTGTGTGTGTAATTACTATAATAATCGTATATACTTAAATGTACATTATTATTTCTCTGCAAATTAATAGCCGATTGTTATCAAAAATTAAATTAGACACGTCACATCTACAATATTATATTTTATTATTATTACTTTTATATAAAAATGCTTTAGTTTTTGTAAATTTTTCAGCTTGTTAAATCGAAAATTATTGCAATTTTATCGCTTAGAGCTAATAAATTGGACAACAATATGATTCAGGCATTATTTTTTTAAGTGCTTTAGTTATAGATATGTTTGGAATGCTCCTAAACAATAAAATGTCCATTACAACAGAAATTTCAAATTGTTTTAAAAAATATAACTTCAATTTTATAATTATAAGTATGAACGTTTTCCAGAAGTTTGGTAGAAATTATTATAAGTATAATATTTGTTTGATGTTTTGAAAATAGTTCATGTATATCTACTTAATATTTATTTATATTATGTTCAGAAAAAAGTTCTTAAACCCGTTTTGTGGTATTTTTATTTGATTTTCTACCTAAATAAACGTATTTTTATAATTGCATTTTTGTTTGTTTCAAATAACGTTAGTTTTAAATATATATATGTTTGAACTTTTATTTTATTCGATTCTTTATTTCGACTTTTATTAAAATAAAAAAATTCAATATTTGTTTACATATAATAAATATACATGTTTGAATTTGTTTTTAAACAAATTAACGCCCTGTTGTGATTATATGTACAAAAATTCTATGGGGGGGGGGGGGAAAGCATACACAAAGTGTGAACGTCGGACCAGAATGTGTTCCGGTGTCGTTAGAGACGTAATATAACGAAATGAGCTGCTCGTGCAGATCAATAAAACTACCCCTTTGCCCTACCCCCAGCCCTTATCGACCCCCTCGGCGACCTCTCCTCTGGGGTTTGTACGATATCAGCGGTGCACTTATACCGCTGCGTCATAGGTCCGCCATAACTTTTGTAGACCTCGTGTGTGTTGTGTACTGTCAGAGTAAATTACCATTAACTATATATAAAATATTATTAAATATCTTAATCTCCGTCGTCGTCGGAGTGTGTACACACATTAGCTCGTCATGGACTTGTATTATATTTTTTCAACCGTGTGTTACAGTTCTATGCAGCAACCGCGTAAGCCAAATGACAAAGACCTACAATGATATCGAAGCAGTAACCCAACTATTAGCCGAAGTGAGTGTCTTGACATGACGTGCTTCGTACGCGGTGTTTAGGTGCTTATATTTTATTTACTTGTTCCGGTTTGTGTAGAAAGAAAAAGATTTGGAGTTGACCGCCCGCATCGGCAAAGAATTGTTGGCCGGCAATCAGACCTTGGAGGCCAGGGTTGGATTTCTCGAGACGGAATTGAAAACCGTCAACGAACGATACACACAAGCGTCGTACGAGTTGCAGAAGAAAAACGATCTCATCAAAATACTCAGCAACGATGCTGACGACACGGGCTACGAAGCGGGTGAGTTTTTGTGCACCTGTTATAATATATAATAAGAATAATATACCCCAGACCTAGCCTTTGGAAAAATTGTCGGTAATCTGGCGTACAATAGTGATTTGAGAAATTTACATCTCCATTTGGTTTAGACGCACGACTGACGTCCAAAGGACAACAACCGTGCTAAACGATACCAAACTTCGGAATTCCGGTTATATATATATATATATATATATATATAATAAATACACTCGCGTTAATCGTTGCGCGACTAATCCGCGTCCGCATTTTGTTAACATGGCGTAAAACGTCTTGGCTATGTTATGTTTGTTTACTGAAGGAAATCGAAATGGAAAGGAACATCGGCAGACAAGCTATTATAGTGATTGAAGTAATCGTCTGATAAGAGAGCGTATAGTGATAAGCATTGATAAGGGGAAATAAACTGATAAGGGATACGAATGTGATAAAAATGGTAATTGACAACAAAAAACTTGCAAAACAATTTGATGAATTTTTAACGAGAATCAGTATACATTTTTATTAGCACGCCAATTCCTTGTTTAAACTTTGAAGGGGATTTAAATAATAATAAGACAAACTAGAGAAAATGTTGGAAGCAGATTCATATTATGAGAAAAAACATGTTGTATTTTCGATCTTGTTCTAAAAATGTTTTGTACAGCGTTGATCACAAATATCTAATTTATTTACTATATTTACGCCTTTGTTCTCTAAACATAACAAGTTTCCTTCCAATTGACACCCGACATTATTCTAGTTCACTTCATTTATACTTTTTGTTAATTTAGTTTGTAGATAATATATTATAGTAATCATTAATTCCTAAATCATAATTTTAAATTACAAATCAAAATTACAAAATAAAAGCGATATTCGACAATCAAAGGAATTTATTTTTATAAATAAAATACTAAAGGTTTCACTTATCATCGCGTCTTTTAAATTGCATTAATTTTTCAAACGACGTGATATTTTCTAAAAGAATACGTTTGTAAAAAAAAAAAAAAGTATACATATTCCAGATGGAGATGACAATGGTATTCACATTTAACTAAAACTAAGTGATTTTTTTATTTTTCCGTGTGGCTCAGAAATCACAGGGGATAGTTGGTATATTATTTTAGCACACCATTTGTATGACTTTTTTAATTATTTGACACTGACAATAACTTATTTTATTATTAACTTTTTTTTTGTTTTAGCCGACGAAACCGCCAAAGGGGAAAGATACTATGGCGTCAGCGCAGAGTACTTGCAAAAGCGGCTCAAGAGCATGGAAGACGAAAATAGGTCTTTGCGTGGCGAAGCCAACCGTCTGGCCATGCAGACTGACGAGATAGAGGCCAAGGAAGCACAGCTCATGTCGGACTTCGCCTCTCAGCTGAGCAACACCCGATCCGACTTGTCCGTCATCATGGAACAAGCGGACAAACACAGGGAGGAGAACGTCACCCTGCACAACAACTGCGAGTTCCTGCGATCCAAGTTGGCTAGTGTCGAGGCTTCATTGAGAATCGTAAGTAAACTTTCATTAATATTTTTCAAAGAAATTCTCTATTGATTCAATGTGTGTGTTTCATTCAAAATAGAAAACCGATGAGAACGACGAACTCATGTCGATGCTCATGTTGGCCAGAGACACCCAGAACGAGCTAGCAGCTGAAATAGCGGAAGTGAAAAAGCAATATGAAGAGGCGCTTGCGATGCTTCACGAGTGTCAGGCAGAACTCAAAGGTCACAAGGACAAGAATGTACCACTTGCTCGGACCGGACCACTATTTACATCACTTCCGCCGTACTTGAACTCCACGGCGCTACACAGTCACGGCCACAGCTCTTTGGAGAGCTCGTTGTTCTCCGAGCTCAGTCTGGACTCTGGCATAGGCACTGGCAGAATGTAAGTCTGATCGAGTCCGTCTCGACCTTGGCCTAAGTCTTTGTTTCGTAACCACATGTTTGTTTGTTGTTCCTCAGGTCCGGCGCCAGTAGCTACAAAAAGTCCATCGGCATGATGAAGCTGACCTCATCGATGGAAACCAGTACGAGAAACATGTCCAGACAAACCGCCTATAACGACCTGACCGAAGAGTCGGCCACCCAAAGCGACTGTGATGATTTCTCGGATACGGATTCGTTCATTATGTACGTGTTTATTTTACACATAAAAATATAAATTGTTAATTGATTTGCATCTTTATTTTAGCGAGCAGCCTGGAATACCTGGTGCTCCGGGCTCAGAGGATTTGGCAAACGCTCTGAAACGTTTGACTCCGGCTTCGATCAAAGCTCGCCGTGCCGCTTTAGGGACCGGTTTCATGTTTGGCGATCCTTACGATTCAGCTGATACCAGAACGCCCGATTCATTGATGTCCACCGGAAGCATAAGTCTACCCACCTGGAAAACGCCAAGCAAACTACAGGTATTTCAATATATTGTGCCAGTGTTAACGTTTTGGAGAAAAAAAATTAATAACTGTTTTCTTCCACTCGTTAGTTGGTCAAGCCTATGCAAGGTTCGTTTACGCTTCAACAGTGGAACGCTCAATCGGTACCGTCGCTGAGTGCTATTCTCGAGGAACAGCCGCAAGGAGTAATTAAAAAGTGTGATTCCACGGCGCCGATAGCAGGTCTTCCTCAAACGTTCAGACTTGATGAAATCGAAGAGGATGAACCCAAACATCCCGGCAAAATGTTCCAGATGTCTAGTTATATTTACACGATGACCAATTCCACAGTGATGCATCCGGACGACGGCACCACTAGTGTCACTCCGAGGTAACATTTCTAGTTAACAAAACAAAAATTATACTTTTTTTACTATGACCTACTCATGTTTGCAGTATTCGAGGCAGCGCAATGACAACAACAGTGAACAGTCGCGTAAATAGTCAAATGCCGTCGAAAGAAGGAACTCCGATGTTATCTAGAAGAAATTCGACGACCACATTTTCCACAAACAGTGGTTTGGCTGCCATGTTAAACGAAAGAGGAATCCGGGCCATAACACCGTCCGCCTTGGCCACTCCTATGTTCTCCACTACGGCCACACCTTGTAATAGTCCCTACGGTTCGCCCGGAGGTACACCTGATCGTTCACGCTCTCCATCGCCTTCGGACTCTCCTTACTCGCATCCATTTGGATTACCTGGTAAGTTAGTGTATTGTGAAATGTTTTAACAAAAAGAACTTTAGTGTAACTATTTATAAATTCGGTTCAGGTTATTTGATGCACAGTGGAGCCAAACTGTTGAAGACTTTAACGGGCACCGAAAGGTCGACCGAACACAAGTCACGCAAATCAAAGGCGGTTGTCAGGCCCGACAAAAAAGTAATTTATTTACTAGTGCGAACGGCCATGGACTTAAAATAATGTTCTTTTGTTTTTTTTTTGTAGACGTTGGCAGGCATACGACTCGTAGAAACCATGAAACATTACATACCCACCGTTGCGACCGACGAATCTGGCCGACCGGTGTTTGAAATTGGAGCGTCTGAGCCGCCGAAACCGGAAAACGGTGCGTTAAAAAGACGATTGAGACAGTTAGACAACTCCGATAAAGGTCCGAGGTTACGCATGGATTTGGGTACGGTTGGTCCGCCAACACAGTCGACGGACAATGACAGTTCTCAGCCGACGCATGGCACGCTTATTAGTTCCATGTTCTTTGCCCGCAAAGGAGGATTACTGTAAAAAAATAATAAGAAAACAATATTTTGGTGCAATCGTAGTACATAAATATGTATATTTTTTTATTTTGAACAAATTTTCAAAAAATATCTCCTATTTGTTGTCGTCCCTTTACCTATTCTGACCGTGTTTTATAAAAATACACTCGGCCTTTTTAATAACCAATTTAAAGTAGTCGGCTTAATTAAATTTCCTAAGAGTTCGGTGTTAATTTTTTTTCTAACTACAATTTGATCGCTGTGATTTAAAAAAAAAAAAATTACTATTAGTACAATTGTTAGTAGCTTAGCTTACTAAGGAAAAAAAACAGACGATGGTTAAGGTATTTATTATTATTATTATTATTCTTTATTTCATAAACAATATGATACCTACGATAACGTTGTTATGTATGTTAATTAGTCATGCCGCGTGTTTTAGACGCCTAAAGGTGCTATATAATAATGTCATTTTCTCAATCAGGTCCGATTGTATGCTGTTCGTTAACGGCCATTGTTGCTTTTACTTGTGAGGACCTTAAGCTTAATAATAGAGTGTATATTCCCAATAAGTATAAATAAACTTTTTTTTTCATTATCTTTATAAGGGCTATACAAAAAAAAAAAAATGTAGTCTCTCTGTCGATTGAAATAATAATTGTATATTTTTGTATTTCTTTAACTCGACCGATTCTTACTGAATTGTAAACCGAACGAAATCGCACAATAAAAATAGTATAAATACGTTTTTATACAGTAATTTATTATTGTTTCATTTTATTTTTTTGGTTAAAATTGTCTTAACTATTATAATGAAAAACTTTAAAAAAAATGTATTTAAGTATATCGACTTATAATGTTATAATTGTTAAACTTTTGTAGTACTTTTTTTGTTTCAAATTCATATAATATTCTTAAAAACCGCCGGGTTTTTGTTTATTATTATTATTTTACATACCTTTTTTTTTATTTTCTTAAGTTTTAAATATTTATTTCATGAAAACGGTTAGCTTAATGTATTGGTAACTTAAGACTATTTTTTTATTTTTTTTAATAAAAAAAATAATAATAATTAGTCATTACTATATTTTCCTCACGTCGTATTCAGGAAATAAAATCGGTCGAATACTGTTTCAACATTACTTTATCCTTTTTTTTTTTTTTTTTAGTTCGCTTTAAGTTTTTAACCAAAGTATTTTTTTTAGAATAATTTTTTTTTTTTTTTTAAACTTTCGACGGTGTTCCTACTATGTTCTTTGTTCGTTTCTCGAAATTGTCAACGGCAAACAGTAACGCGTCACCACGTAATAAATTGTAAATACATTTTTTTTTATATATATATATTATTTTAGAATTATTATTATTATTACTACTATTTTATTATTTAAAAAGTTTTCTGTGTTATTGTGTAACGCATACTTCGCAGAAGGACGATTAATTTTGTCCGGAAAGTTTGTGCGATTATACGGGGAAAAAAAATATTGAAGTTTCTTTAGTAACGAATGTTGTTTTTATTAAGCGATGGAGCCTTTTATTGTTCGAAATAAAAAAAAAAGAAATTATGACGAGACTGAGTTAGTATTCAACCAAATTTTGTACGTTTTATTTTATTTTTATTTAGTTTTTGTAGGCAAACACATCTGCGTATTCTGGCTAGCGACGCGTCCGCCGTTAACCGATGGTTAATAACAAACGCCGACAAGTATTTTATGATATGTAAAAAAACAGGAAAAAAATATGAATCGACCGTATTGTATTTTTTGTTAAAAAATATTTTATTCGGTTATTTATTCTTGTATAATGTAATAATATTATGTTTAGGGCTAGTTGAGAAAAATATTAAAGATGTATTTGTTGACTGAAGTTAGATTTTTTTTTTTTACCCATCGCATCCTTATTATTATTATATCGTGTTTGCAGCACTTGTTGTGATGATTTGAAGAAATGTGGTTTTTACAAAAATAGCACTGGTGGTTGGACGCGTGTAAACACTGCAGCTGAACGATCGGCCAGACAGGTACCAAGGCATAGGCGACACACCGAGCGGCAAAAGTTCAAAAAGATTTAGGTACGGGAAAACTAGCATCTTATGTGATACATTAATAGGTTTTCGATTAAAAAAAATACTTGCAAAAAATCACTCAAGTAATTCTAAAATGACCACTTGCTCTTAGTGAAGTCTGTTAAAAAAAAAGGTAAGGTAATGTAAAAAAAATAAAATTATTTTTAAAACACCAGGTACAGTGTACGTTGATCAAAATTTTACTTTTATTAATAATACTTGATTACAGCAAAAATATGATTTTAAAATAATATTTTTTTTTTAAGTCTCGATAATTATTTAATATTTTAATTTTCATATATATTTTTTATGCATGGATTGTAGTAATAGATGTGTGAATATTCTCTAAAACAAAATAAAAATCAGTTTGGCATGACCAAAGTGGGTAAATATCAACTTTTGGCTGTTGCCAAACATAATAAGTTTAAAAAAATACCTTTAAAATATATTTTAAACACAGTTTCGAATACTAATCAATAGAAAATTATTAGTTGAGACATGTAATCCCTTATTGAATAAGGAATAGTAGATAAGTGATGTATTATATTTGAATAGAAAAAGCAATTAAAATTGATATTGTAATAACTTGTGCACATATTATTTAACAAAAAAATTATCATACACAAAAAAAAAACGATAATATTCAGTGAACTAAAAAATGTATTTCTCTCCTTAATATCAAAATATATTTAATTAACAAAATCATTTGTAAGTACAGTATTTACATTAAAATATGTTGTACAAACAATAATTTTCATTAAAAATTGTTTAACAATTAATTACTGACAGGTTGGCAGCAATGAAACTAGATTGTGGGAGCTTGACGATCGCTTTTAATAAAAGATTTCATTTTTTTATCGACCAATCTTTTGCGATTTGCACTTTCAGCTCTAATATTAATAAAAAAAAAAAAGGTTAAAAATGACTTTATAAAAACATGACATGATATATCGATTATTTACCTGCGTCTTATTCTCTCTACAGTTTCTTCAGAAGGTTCGTGTTCAGGTTCGACGGCTTTCCAAATAATAGAGCGGAGCCGTTCCATGGCATCGGCCAGGTTTAATTGTTGCGACCTAGTTTTTTCTGACCGAATCACTAAATATCCTTCTTTGGTCAACTTGTTTTTGTTCTAAAATAAAATATAAATAAAAAACCAAAACGCATTCCTTGTGGTTTCATCACATCGTTTGACGATTAATAAATAACTTACGATTTCGATTAATTTTTGTCGGACATTGTCGCCAAGCCATTTAGCCGATTCGACTTTCAATCTCAGGTCTACTTTGGTGTTTACTTTGTTGACATTTTGTCCACCGGGTCCGCTCGACGTGCTGTACGTGATTTCCAATTGGTCGATCGGTATGAAGCCGTTGAATTCGCCGTCCTTGCCCGGTACCTAGTGTTGAATATTTAAATAAATTATATTAAATATAATATAATATTATACATATGCAAGTGTCGAACATATGACATACTTGATCGGGTTTCGGTGTTGTTAGTTTCAACGAGCTGTCTGGATACAAATTTTTCAAACTGATCGCACTCGTGTAGTGGCTGGAACGCGACAAGTTTGGCAAGAATATGCATTTGCAAAGGCCTCTCAAAGCGACCAAACTCATTTTGGAAAATTCACAATTCGTTTATGGTTTTAATATACTTAAATTCATTGAATAATTCAAATTTTACAAATAAGAACTGTAACGCAATGCGCATTAACGTTATCATTTATCACTTTATTCACTTATCAGTAAATTTGGCCTTATCATATTTTGTGTTATCAGTTTAAAAATTACCAACTTGAGACAATACAACTTTTTTCTAACTAATCGGTATTATTTTGGGTAAATACTAAATTTCAGTAATTTATTATTATGATTAGAAATGTCCTGTATATTAGTGATGAAAAATTATTTGTTTTGTCCTATAAATAACAAACAATAGAAAACCGATTATAAATTTAAATGAATAAAGGTTTTAAATTAAGTTAATTCACGAATAAACTATGTGTATCTTCACACAAAATTAAAAATTATGAATTTTTATAAAAAAAAAAGTATTTAGTTACATAGAAAATAAATACATATTATATTATTTCTAAGTCTGAAATAAAATTTGTTGAACATAAGCTATGTTAACCATCTCCTTGAAAAAGTCAAATTAATAATACAATTTAAAAAAACTTCCAGAATTATTGAAACGAAAATTTAAATTAAACCTATATCTAAAAGAAACAAAAAATTGTATGTATTACCTACTTATTTATTCTTTTGAATTACTAAGTCAACTTCACAGTTAGTACCCTTCTGTGTCATATAATAAAGTCCGACTCAATATTACGTTTGATGAAAAATCTTGATGTTATTGTAATATATGTCACGCATACAAAACTTGTCTAAAATTTTGTCACAGCACTGATTGAGGATAACAGTGACAAGCCTAATTTGATTATGATTTTCACTAATCATTAACATTAAGTATACATAAGTCATAACGACGTTACAACAATTGTTATGGTAAAATATTCATAAGCGATTTTATTGATTTTTGGAAAACCTACACGTTTCTACAAAAAACAAAAATCATAATAAAAATGTATACAAGGAATGTGTTATTGTTACATATTATAATGAATTACATTAAATCTATACGTAACAGATAAGTTAAAGACGTTATTAGTTATTTATGGACGTATCGTATAAAAATATATAAACACGTTTAACGTTTTATCACAAACTAAGTTCAAAAATATAACATCTATACTTAGATTAATCTAATTAAACATGTAGTACATTTAACATTATTTGAATAGTGTACCGACGTACGAAAATTATATTGTCGTAGCGGGCTCGCCCATATTTTAGTAGTAATATAAATTAATTTGTGTTACAAAAATGTGAGACGATAATAGGAAAGAAGCAAAATGATTAATTTAAAGTTCATCATCGATAACTGGAAAATCGCCTACTTCGACGGCAGACGGCGTTACAAAGGATGCGTATTTAGGAGGCGTTTGGAAATACCGTTTGTTGTTGACACACCCGTCATGTTTGCCGTATGGTTCGTCATATTTCACACCAACCCAATAGCCGTTTTTGTCGTCCAATCTACCCAAATACATAACGGTGCCCCGCTGGACGGGCTTGTTGGGCAATCTTATGCAACACCTCTGACCTACCGACATTGTGTCGATTAATTCTTTTTCCGCGTTTTCTTGTTCCTCTTTTTCTTGCACTTCCTTTTCACGCTGTTTCAAGTAATCCGGATTATACTTGCCCAATTTGTTGTTTTTTAAAAAACTTTTCAAAGTTTCCTAAAAAAAAATGGAACGGCAAAAAACGTTAGAAAACGATTACAAACAAAGCAATCGGTGGCGACGGAGATGTACCTGTTTGGCGTTGTATTCCTCTTCGGTCATTTTGTAACCGTCCACGGCGTCTTGATCCGAACTCTGGTAGGCCGGGTCTTCGACCAGCAAAACCATGCCGTTTTCCACGGGATAGGAACCTATCTGCGAGTCGTCGTCGTCCAATTTCGTTACCAGTTTGTCCTTGTTGTACGCCGACAAATTCATCGTGCCCGCCGACCGGCCCGTCACCATCTCGAGCTTGTTCTTCAGTTCGGCCACGGTCATGGCTCTCCTATACCTCCTGGGATTGATTTCGGGCTCGGCCAAAGCTGTGCACACATACACTTCCAACATGTCGGACAGATTGCCGTTCATAACGGTCGATAAGAGTATTGCGAATAAAAAAGCGTGTTCGAATTACCGAAAGTAAAACATTGACGAAGTCGGCGAAAAGCAAAATCGAACCGGAAACAATACCATTTATAGCCGGAACCGAATTTTGTTTGCTGGTTTGTTTTGACGAACGGCGATAAGAACCGTTGATAAGAGCGTTTACAGTGTGACCACATACAAGACATGTCTGATAATATTATTATTGTGCCACGCAAGATGGCGACAGACTTTTCAAAAACATTGTTAAACCTTTTGATGGTGAAAATTTAAAACGCCCCAGTAAAAATGCGCCGAATGTACTTAAATCAAATATTTTATCGAGTTATAAATAATTATTTATTTCAATTAGGTATTTGTTATTTCAAACGGTAAATAAAAATATAAGTACACATTTTTCAGTTAAATATGAAAAAAAAGTAACAACCCGGTTTAATTGTATGTAATACTTGCTTGACATTTTTATCGAAATCGTGATTAAAATAAAATACTCATGTATTTAAATAAAAGATGAAATTATAAAATGAAATAAAAATATGTATTTAAAATAACAGGTAATTTGAAACAGTCTAAAAATAATGTATTTAAATATTATTTAAAGTTATAATTAATAAATTATATAAAATATTACTTATTATTTTTGCAGCTGTAAATAGAAATTAGTTGACACAATGATGTGTATTCGAGTAAAAATGTGGTTTTTATTTGTTTGTTATTGTCGACTTCTTTACATTTTGTTTTTTTTTTAATTCTTCTATACGAGTTCTCAACTTGGAAATGTCTTACAATTTTATAAAACCGAGAGGGAGAGGGTGTCAGCAAAATTATTTTGCAAGTATTTTAGCATAGTATACCACTCTTAATTAAGTATAAATAAATGTCCATACATGCCCATTTTATGTTACTCCGAGAAAGGGGCAGTGCGCGACTTGTTCTAAAAATGTTAATAAATTTAAACCGATTTGTGTAGAGCTAAAATTGGTCAATAGACCAAAGATTTGGCTTCTGGGATCAGCTACATATTATTATACGGTGCCTATACTTAATGATGGAAGGGAAGTAAAAATTTTGTCGATTGGGTAGGTTCTTTCCCCTCTGAGGAGTTACCTTTTGGGTTTTGAGTATCACAACCAAGTAGCATAATATTTTGATTTCAAGTCGATCGCTGCAATTTGCTTTCATAGAATTTCAAAAATTGGATCAAATTCGAGTCGAACAAAAAGCGGTATTTCTATAAATAAAAAATGAACAAGCGATGGCCGATGAAAACCATGTGACCAAGTATATCGATAAAAAATTATACAAGTCCGGTGGACAGTATACAAATGCAAAATACACCTACGTCATAGTCCCGGATACGTTTTAACGATGTAAACCTGTTTGTTTGTTTCGAAGACAATTTTTCCTCTGAAATATCACATTAAAGCAAGTACTAACTATATAAATGTAGCTAAAAATAAGTAATTATCGTTTCGTTACACTACATTCGCGCTCGGATGAAATCGATAAATGAACAAGTCAGTTTGTTTAGTTCTAGTCGATAAAAAAATAAATCTTGGCTCCAATTTTCTTTAATCCATCGCTAAACAAAAAGAGCAGTATATTAATGTTTTCTCAGGGGGCTGCAAACTTCTAGTGAAAGCCAGCAGGTGCCGAAGCGACAGATTTTCAAGTATTTTTTATTGATTTGTTTATTGTAAAAAAAAATATAGTTGGTGCAATTTTTATACAGTAGATGATTCAATAAACAGTTACGCTAATAATGTCTATTACAATCAATTAAAATATATATTAATATGTGTGTATTTTTGGCTGATTGATATATTATATTACTGACACTGTTAGGATGTTGTGAATCTCAACAGGTTGCAAAGTAATAATATTAAATTAATATGTCACAAATAATATTATGTAAAAATACTAGCTATGGTCTTTACCCAGAGGGTTGAAAGTGCCTACTGCTCAAAGCTGTAAACCAAGCCTGAGCGATTTTTATAACAAATAATTATTTTAAATCTGGAAGAATAAACTTTCAACCGTTTAAACTTGTAAGTTATTTGAAATATTTTTTTAAAAACTGTATGAAATGTACATATTTGTATTTACCGTTTGAAATAATTTATCAAAATAAGTTATGACTCTCGACAAATAATTCACGAATTCATTTAAACACAATGCAATTTTTACACGTCTGTCGCTAATAGTGTAAACAATCAATTACAAAAACAAATAAAAAAAAATTGCTCTATTCGTTTACAATAATTGAGCCCTTTCAGTCATATGCAAGCTTGAACCACTAGTGGTGTATGTCAATATGTTTTTGAAACTTGACATTTACAATGTAAATCAATATTCAAACAACGCGTATAAGATATTAAAATCACAAGTTAAACAATAAAAAAAGTTGACATACACCACTTTGCAGGGCTCCATTATTATATTCCCACTATTATAGCAGTATAAGAAATTAGAATTTTGATTTTCTTTTTAACATATTTAATTGTCAACTGATGGATATATATTTTCAATATTATACTGTTATTTAATTTTCTCGGCCAACGCATGCGGTATGTCAATTATTGTAATGTAATATTATAAAAATGATCGTATAATAATATATCATGATCTATATAGTACCTTGAGCGTTGTGATCTAATGGATCACGGACAAGCTATTATAATAATATGTACCAACACCGGCATTATTACAGCAGCTGTTATTGGCAATTTTTTTATTTTTTGACACGACACCTGTGGATTTGACGATTATGTATGACCTTTAGTTAAATAAATGTCAAAATTGACGGTACAGCAATTTTCTGCCGTCCGAATCCGGATAGGGGGGGAGGGAAATCACCAATATTAGTCATTACTAAATAGATAATATGGAACAAGACGGTTTATTATTGTTTTTATGGCGAACAAATAATGTTATTATTATGTATACCATCGTGACGTTACCGACTTGGTCGAATAGTAGTACTTAAATCATAATGTATAAATAATTTATATATAAATTATTTATTGGCACTATTGGCTATTTATATATTATTTTATTATTATTGATTTTATTATGATTCAAATATGTGTGTGTGTGTGTGTGTGTGTGTGTGTGTGTGTGTGTAAGGTACACATTATTATTGTATGTTTATTTCAAGGAGATTTATTTTATTTCATACTTCCATAGTGTGTGTACCAATATAAAAAAACACAATCTTAATAGTAAAAGTCGGTAATAGTATAAGTCTAAAGCTAAAACGATTAACAAAGACTAGATTTTAAATCAGCAAACTTATATTTGACACTTTTGAGTATAATATATTTTTGCTTATAATGATTATTCTTAGAATTAGTAGCATAATATTTGTAGTATAAGTATAGTCATTGAGTCAGTTAAGATTTTACACAGTTACATCATTTTTATATAATATTAGAACGATAAACGACAAAATACAGTTAAAACATATTTGTTAATTTCTTATACAGTTAATACATGCAGATTATACAATGATAGCTGTTTTATTCAACCACAAAATGTTTTAATAAAGGCTAGGCATAATAGTGATTATGTTATATAAATTTTAACCTGTTTTATCATAACGAGAATATCAATTTTACAATAAGAAATTGTATAAAGTTCAAATTTTAAAACTGTTTAGTAGGTACTAACACACTGATGTTCTGATAAACTTAGTCTAGACACTAAATCACTAGTTCAAAGTCTTTTATGGTGCTTGCAGGTCTAAGCCATGCAAACAAGCTATGCAAAAGGAACTTTATCTAAGTCTGAAATAAGGTTAATAAGTAATACGTATATAGTAAGTAAGTATACATATACAAGTAAGTGAAAATATAGAATAATTAAAACTGGGCATATTTATTAATTATTGAACATTAATAATAGGTTATTTCAAACGGTTTTTATTTACCGTTTCAAATTCTTAATTTTTTTGTTTAAACGAGTTTTCATTCGGCTATTTCAAAAAACCCGGCTATTTTAAATTGTTCGTTTTTGTATTTAAATAGTAAATTATTAAGAGTTGAAATTGAAAATCGTTTTGCAATTATATTATTATTTAAGTTTTTATTTGAATTTTTTGTATATTTTTAATAACTATTTGAATGTGAATTATAAATAACAAAACTATTTAAAATACAAAGCCCAGACCTGGAGTAATAAAGTAACATTTAAAAGTACACAAAAAAAACTTAAAAATAGGTGCAATTATTTAAATTAAATTTAAAAAAGTGCAGATAATTATTAGTTTTGGAAGTGTGCTACTCGTTCATACTAAAATTCACTTTTGTTACTATCAGTATGATTATCATGCCCATCATAGGTTTATAATAACAATACCAAGTGCAAGTCCATGTCTTTGGCATATTTTCCAAGTCGGTTTCACAAAAAAACATTTCACCAAGTTTCAAGGCTGCATTAACCATCTAGAAACAAAGTATGAACAAACTATTAGTACTATTAGAGTATACATTATTAGGGTCGGAAGGGTCACATATCTTATATAGATATTATTCAAATCTAACCTAAAGGCAGTTTTAAGCGCACCTCAAAAATCCAAGTAAAGAAAAAAAACGACATACCCTCCTGGGCAAAAATGGTTAATGATATGATTCCTCGGGGTTTCCCTGCATATCTGCATAATGTCTACTCATGTCTAAAAAACAGGTTTCCCACACAATTGTGGAACTTGGAAGTAACACAATGACAGGGACACAAAAACAAAGACACCTCTAGTATTATGACATTAATAATGTACTATACCTACCAATATGGATTGTGAATGTCGAAAAATTGAACACCACCATTCAATGTCTTCCGGCGTCATGTGTTTAAGGATTCCAACTCGCCATTGCTTTTTTTCCCAATCTTCAGATTTAAACCAAAGAAAAACCCAAATCAACGATACGGCGAACATTAAAGAAAATTTTAACTCGATGGTGTCTCCAACGAAGAAAAATATATAAGCAAATGCAGCATTCAAGTACAAATAACAAGTCTCCATCTGCAAAACAAAAAAGATATAATACATTTATACCGGTTGATTTGTTCTTTTAAAATTATATTATTAATAAATATATTTTAAAAACAAGATTATGTTGAAACAATTAAAATATAATAAATAAAAAAAAAAAAATTATTGAAATTTTGTACGGTTTTTTTTTAAAAAGCATTTTCTAGAGCTTTATTGACTTTTAAAATTTAAATTGTAACGTAGCCCACCCGTTTTATTAACTTTTTAAATCAAGAATACTTTGCTGATCATTTTTGCTAACCACTTTGGAATAAATAGTGTTAAAGTTATTAAAGTTTAAAATTTTGGACGGGACGAAGGGCGGAGTGTAGTGTTATTTGTATTATATTAATTTAAATAAACTAAACAATTAAATTAAATTTATAATATAGATGTTCTTATGTGCCATTTAAGTTGCAAAAGTCGATATAGCTCTATACAAAAAATAACGTGCAAGAGTAATTATTTTTTTTTTGTAAAATAATAATTGTGTTAGGTGAAAAAGTTTCGAATAAAATATATATTTTTATATCGCATTAAAATCATTAAAAACACTGTCCATCGGTGCACTTACAAAAGGGGATGGATGTACCAAAAAATGTTCTTCTTGGACGGGTTTTTTCTTAGGCATTGTAAAAATAAAAAAATAAAACAGATTAGGTATGAATGAATGAATAGCGGTTATTTCGACACGACAATAATTTACAGCTATTTTGACCTTGCTGATGAAAGGCTCCAGCAACAACTGGCCAGGGTAGCTGGCCGCTGCACTTTCCGTCGTTGCATTTTCATCATAAACGACAGGTATACATATATATATATTGTAAAATCCAATAAATCCCGGGATAGGTTCTATTGCGCACTGCACAAACATGCAAGTTGACATTTTGCGCCCTCTAGAGTCTATACACGGTGGTAAGTGCACCGGACTACCGGAGAATTGATGAAATGTGTGTGTACACCGATTACACCGGTGATGGTATTTATCCACTTTTCGGTTTGACATCTCTTAAGGTACCTCTAGGCTATACCATCGAATAAGACTATAAATATTATAGTCTTGTTGCTCAATTCCTTATTCGAACAAAAGTAGAAGTGTATTACCTATAAACTATAATATAGGCTATATGTATAATATAGACAATACAATGAGCACTGTACCTATCGTTTGTGACTCAAAAAGTTTATCTAATCCAAAATTGTTCTACAATACTTAGGGTGGCACAGGGCGATGATTTTGAACGAATGGAGTGGATATAATACAAAATAGACGTATTCTATTTTTTGAATATTATTATGAGTAGTTAGTTATCAAAAACTCTAATATAAGGACTTTGGTTTAGTTTTTTTTTTTTAATTCGTCTCGTAATAAACAATAACCAGCTTGTAATCATAACTTTTTAGAACCTTGTTTTACTCGAAGATACATAATAATACAGCAGGGACTATATTGGCTGTTGACAGCTATATTTTTGAATTTGTTACAGTTTCCAACAAATTGCATTATTACATGTACAGGGTAAGATTTTTTTATGATATTCTTTTTCTGTTTTTGATGTTGGTATAATAGTACTTGGTTTTTTTTTCTACGTTATACAGTATAGGAGGCCGCGCTTGCTATACTCAGGATGATTCACGCTACCAACTCATTATAATTGCAATGAGCCGGCTTAAACATTAACAGTGCATATTGTTAATGACTTATAGTCAAACGAATCATTATAATATTATGTCCGTCATCTTAATACATCTGACACAATTTATGTATATATATATATATAACATTTGGACTGATCCTAATCCTAAAAGAAAAAATATTTAGCAATGAAAAACCACACTATTTTGGTCTGCTTAAAATGTTTGACCAAAATACCTTAACAAAATATGTCTGTTACATTATATACCAATTATTGTGGTAAAATGTCTTATTCGTTAAGTCACAAAGTTTTGAGGTTAGATTAGATAATGCACACAACTAACCTCGCCCTAACTGACCACCGTAACACGAAAAACATTGTCCGGGATAATTATATTTTATTTTAATGTTGGTGGTTACCTAATCCAGATAATCATAGGTTTTATAGATCAAACCACTTATCTTATAATCTTATATCTCTATATCTTAAGTTATTACTTCGCACGAGTAGGTATTTAAAGAGTATAAAAAAATTGTTACTTTAAGTTGGTAAATGTTCAAAGTGTGAAGTAAAGTGTTAAAAAATACACAAAGTATAATATTGTTGTATAGTTGGTGTGAAAAAAATATTATACAATTTTGTTAATGGTTTTTAAAATTCTAAACCAACGCTATAAAAGTCAGATATGTTCCAACACAAACCACAACAACAAAACAATTATTTCACAGGCATTATTATTTAAATAATATTTGAAAAGTATTTGTTTTCGGACACTTGTTACAACTTACATTATCCATAACAAAACATTTCAAAATATCAATTATTATTGTCCTAGCTAAGGGACAAGAATAATTCTGCTAAAGAGTATGGACAAATGGCGTTTATCGTTACAAGCAATCAATGTCTTCATGGAGTGTGCACAAAACACGTGTAGAAAAAAATCACATGTGCGGGCAATAATAATATAATATGTATAAGTACTATTGCGTAAAAGAAACCTTGAAGACTTTGCCTAATCTCGCGAGAAGACAAAAAAAATAATACATTATTCTATGTCACATTGATGTAACATATTAATATACTATTCATATTATGTACATTAAACATTTTATACATAGGTACACTAGGTTAATGTATTTTTGTTTACAAAAATAAGAATATATTTCTTCTATCTGTCCGTTAAGAAGAAACCATTAGAGTTGCCTACTTGTTCCATAAAAACCTACCAGATTTACATAATATGTCCTATTTAAGTATATGTACTAACATTATTTTGTAGTTTATAAAAGGATGGAATAGTGAAAACATTGCTGGCAAATAATTCGAATACATAGAACCCAGGAAATTAGTATGATAACTTATGAGATAAAGAGTATAAATGAAGAAGCTTGGTAAATTGCATATTTTCAAAAATAACAATTTACATGGAAGAAGAAGTCAAAAGATTAAACAGTGATCGGTTAAACGCCAACAAAGTTTTAAATTTAAGGGTTGTTTAACATTACTGAAACTTAAAGTTTAGCAGGTTTACTTTCGTTTCGAAGCAAAAACTATGCGAACAGCTATTTGGTGAAACGAAGAACGAAGATCAGCAAACGTGTACCCGTGTGATTTTCAATGACATTACGACAATGGTTAAATGTTTTCATTGCAAACTACAAACGTTGGAGATGTTACGGATGCTGTAACGCACCTGATCAGACAAAATTGAATTAACTATCCGCACAAGGTGTGTTGGTTAAGTGAAGTGTAATCATAATGATTAGAAGAATGTTAACAATTTTATTATGTAAGTGCGTTTTCATTGTGAAAGAAGAGAAATTTTCGTAAGATTGTTTTGCGCGTTACAATGAACAAGACACGAGAATAAAAGAGTAAAATATATTAGGCGCACGTTGTTGTTATGTATACTTAAAATCAATTTATAAGACGTGTATTTGCTCAGTGGATTTCCGTTGTGTCCGTTTAAACGATTAGGTACTATTTGACGCCTGTATTGTATACATCTAAGACGTCGAACAACAATTAATTGTTAATTACGCTCATTATTTATACCGGCTATGAAGTTTATAATTTATCATTATCTTTTTACCGTACAGAGTATAATGAATTTTCGGTTGTAAGCGAAAGCGTTCGACTACAGCCAAGCAGTAATTAGGAAGAAATGCCAGTCATAAATATTTTGGCGTTTTCATCATAATCTATCTAATATAGTCAATGCCAATGATGTACCTTATATCAATGCATGTCCAGAAACGTCTAACTTTCAACCAAAAAATTAGTACACAAGAAATATTTTCAATTTATACAGTTACTATAGGACTCGCAGGTTTACTTACAAAATCCTATATCAGATTTATTTTGCATTTTTAGGCATAAAAAGCTATTTAAATTTTTACATGGCTACGTCTTATGGCTGGGGGCAAATAAAAAATTGAGTGGTCATTTTTCATCATATAAAAACTTTGATATTTAAAACGTTTTTGGCACAACTTTCTGGGCAAGGAGGAGAGAGGGTGGTGGATGTGGAGGGGAGAAAGGGGATGGTGGCATAAAATATATTCATAATCCAATGCCCTTTCTTTAAGGGAAAGATAGTTTTTCAATGGATATTTTTCTAAGCTTAGGGCTTTGAAAATGTAAAATTATAATTAAAAAAAGAAACATTATAAAAAAAGTAATTAGCCAGTTGTTGTTCGTTTAATGTCACAAGATAAAGTTGTACATTGTATTTTTTTAATTGTTTTACAAATAAAGAGCTTATTGAATGCTAAAACAGAGGCATTTAAATTTTATTTTATTAGTAATAGCAGAGGTTATGTACCGAGTAAGTATGGTATATTAAACGTCGAAATTGTAATTTTATGTTTGAAAATGTGAAGTTTATTACACAGCTTGTAACAAACTAATTGTTGAATATTTGAATGAAAAATGATTGTTGTTCCACGTGACATTGTGTTTACTTAAAACTACTTTTTTCCGAAATAGGTACCGCTGACTAGTGACTACTATATAATATAAACGATGATGTTAAATGTATTTAGTCATAACCACCGTCCACCATTCCTGTCGAAGGTAAAACTAGTGAATTTTATAACAATCATTAGTTGACTCGTAAACAAATAAAATAATTATTATGTTAACAACTTGAGAAGTATAAATCAATTATGTGTAATTGAAATTGCGTTTGAACCATTTATTCATCAATAAGACGTGTAATTAGCGTTTTATTATTAATTTTTAAATTTTTTTACCTCTTAGAAATACATACTGTTTTTTTTCCCCAAGCCTAATCTAACCGAATAATTTGTATTTTTAATTGATAGGCGATAGATAGCTGTGATATTTGTTGTCAGAAATGTTAATTACTAAAAAGCAACCAAACTCGCAGGTCTCATGCACGTGAGAAGTGTAAAATGCAAATACAGCTATGCAATAATTATACACTTAATATTATTACACTTATAACGTTGTAGCCTATTCTTTGTGGTAAGTAAAGTATAATATATAGAAAATATCTAAGTAATTCTTAGAAATGACATAGTAGCTATACTAAAAACGTAGTTGTTACAGACAAAAGTAATAATTTTGTATACGTTTATTGCGCATGTTATAATTAAATGAGTAAGTGAATTTCGGATTAGGACTTTTTCTAGCATAGATTAAATGAACACAACAATAAACAATATTAGTCATTAGGGAGAATAATTACTATATATACTTTAACTCATGGTTAGTAATTGCAAAAAAAAAAAACAAAATGAAATTTTAATTTCAATGAGTCAGCTCAAAAATGTTTAGGTTTTTGTAGTAAATATTCACCAGTTATGTTTAGTTACTCTATGACAGTTGATACGACTATTGTACACAAATGTAACCTGAGAATTTTTTTTTTTAATAATAATGAACTTTTGCTTTTTGAAGTACATTTTATTCACTATATTTCAAATATACTACAAAAAATATTTTATTTAAATACATTATTTTTAGAATTATTTTAAAAAAACCTGTTATTTTAGTTATTATATATACATTTTTATTTTAATATAAAAAATTATTCAATATTTTATTTGTTATTTAAATTCGGTTAATTAAAATTA